ATTCAATATGTATGATGAGCAGATAATCCAAGAAGCTGGATCATATGAAGAATGTGGTATCAGGATTGGAGAAAGAATCATTAACAACCTGCGATACACTAACAACACAACTTTGCTTGCTGAAAGTGAGGATCACTTCAGTCACTTACTAATGAAGATTGAAGAATACAGTCTGCAGTATGGCTTACATCATTTCAATATAAAGAAAATAAAAATCCTCACAACTGGACCTATAAGTAGCATCACCATACATGGAGAAAAGATTGAAGTTGTCAAAGGCTTCACATTGCTTGGTTCTACAATCAATGCCAGTGGAAGCAGCAGTCAGGACATCAGATGACATATAGCACTGGGAAAATTGGCTACAAAAGACCTCTTTCAAGTACTGAAGAGCAAAGATGTTTCCTTGAGGACTAAGGTGAGCCTGACCCAAGCTATAGTATTTTCAATTGCCTCATATGCATGTGAGAGCTGAACAATGAATAAGGAAGACCAAAGAAGAATTGATGCTTTTGAGTTGTGGTGCTGGCAATGAATGCTGAAAGTACCATGGACTGCTAAAAGAACTACCAAATCTGTCCTGGAGGAAGTGCAGCCAGAATGCTCCCTGGAAGCAGGAGTGGCCAGACTTCATCTCACTTACCTTGGTCATGTGGTTAGAAGGGACTATTCCCTGGAGAAGGATGTCATGCTTGGTAAGGTGGAGGGAAAACAAAAGAGAGGAAGGTCCTCAATGAGGTGGATTGACACAGTGGCTGTGGCAATGGGCTCAAGTATAGCAAGAATCATGGAGCTGGAAACAAGTGTTTCCTTGTGCTGTATATAAGATCACTATGAATTGGAGATGACACAACAGCACTTAACAACAACAAAAGATTTGGGTGAAGGAAACACAAAAATGCCGTATTAAAAGCTCTGAGGCCACTGGGGACAAAGGATCTAAATCCAAATGTTCAATTTTTTTTTGATATAACTAGTTTTGATAATCAAAAACATGCTCAGGTCTGACTTGATGGCACATACCAACAACAACAACACATAAATTTTTGTTCAATCTATTATTCTGCAAGAAAGTCTCTATTGAGGGAATCAATACATTCTTAACAATAAATTCTTAGTCCCTTTTTATGGGACTTTTGGAGCAATTCATCAGCCATCTCATTTGTGTTAAAATGAAGACTAGTTTGTAGACCTTCCAGCCAGCATGTTCTAAGCATAATTGAGCATCCCTCAGGATTGATAACCAATTGATATAAATTTGGTAGCTTGGGCTGATAAGCTTCAATAAAATTGGTAAATTCTTTGGGAGATTTATAAATGTCATTTCATAAATTTGGAAAATCCTTAACTGTGTATGCTATGTAATCCAGTGTGGGTCCAAGGAACAAAAGACCTGGTAGAGTCTTTAGGAGCTTCCCTGATGCCCATTCTGAGAGATGCAGGATGAAATTTAAAATGCATCAAGGAATAGGGTTTATTTCTTCAGTGCCTTGTGGAGGGGAAGGACTTCTAAAAGGTTGTTAGTAGTGGAGTAAGAAGGCAGGGATGGATATAAAGAAGATGCAGCCAGTGGGGGAGCAGAAGGAATGGGAGTAGGTATCTGACATCCCATTTCTTTTTGTCTTTTACTTAATTTCAAAATAATATCTTGCATGGCAGCCATTCTACTTTCTTGATGTCTTTTGGAAGCTTCCATATACCAGTTAAAATAAGGATCCCACTGTGATTGCCACATGTGGGAGCTCACTCCTTATAATTAATTTACTGTGCAGGAAAATTAGTTTGTCTAAGTTAAAAGAGCCACAAGCTTGCCATTGATATTCTAGAATGCCCTTAGTACAGGTATGCCAATATTCTAGGTATAAGCAAGTACATGGGCCAAAACAGGCCAGTTCATGATAGTGGTCCCATGAAATACTTGGAACTACCATTTCTCATTTTACTGAAGCAGTGAACTGCACATACCAGTAAATCTTAATATGCACAAAACCCTTAATGTGTACTGGAAACTGAATGTGCACTCAAGAGAGAAAGAAAAGTGTGACTTCAAACATAATAAGTGGAAACTTTGCCTCTCTCAGAGTCTGCTAGAGTATTAAAACTGGAAAAATTGTGGTGACACCTGCACCAGACTTAATTTGGTAACAAACATGTAAAAACATTCAGAAAATGAAAGTAAAAGGAGAGTGTAACAGAAAGCCAACAGCAAATTTTGAAGAGTGTCTGTGCAATGAGGTGGTGATTGATTTGACAGCCTATTTAACCTGGAATGAAGCCCGGTAATCTAGGGAAATGGAAGGGCCCAAGGGGCCTGCATTGATCCTGCATCTCCAGGTTCTCAATGTGCTGGGGCCCACCAAGATAATACACCTCAAGTCCCATTTCTGATATCATTAAATGGCAAGGTGTAAGCATACATATTCTGTTAAAATGTAAGGAAAGAGATTTAGTGGATGTTCAAAATAGTTCAAAATGTGGTTATGCTCATTGTGAAAAATGGAGCTGAGGGTGATTGGGTATATTTGTGTAGTAAAATCTGTAACTAGCAAATTTTTACAGTTTTATTACTGGAAGTCTGCAAAGTAGGGATGTTAGAGGAAGGCTAATATGAAGCAGAGCTTTTGCATTGATTGACTTACAGAGCGTACATGGGCTTCTTAGATTGGTTATATGAAATACTGTAAAAGTATGTGACTAAAGGGGGTTTTACAGGGTGTTCATAAGACAATGATAAGATATTCCTTTTCTGAGAACATTCTATTGGTGTAGTTTCTTCATTTCCTGAGGACTGATTGTGCAGGAGACTTCAGATAAGTCTTTTGGTAAGACCTATCAAGATCTCCTCAGGAATACTCTGTTGGCATCCATCTTTAGTTTAACTACAAAGGTTAACTTCTCTTTAGTTATATGCTTTAGTCTGAACGAAAGCTATTGGCTGTCAAGGAAGTAAACAGAAGTCAAGATGGAGTCTGGACTCAGACCCAGGCCCACCATTCTACTAAGGCCAACTGACATAATTTTCAGACTTTCACACTGAGCTAAATATATTATTTTAATATAAAGTATTAAAAATGTTTTCAATAGTGTCATTATTTTATTATGTTCAACAAAACCTTAGTACTTTTTACTGATACTTCTTTGATGTTAAAAGCAAATTCATCCAAAAAAATTAAATAAATAAAAGAGGACTATATAGCTCTAATTTAGAGTTGAAAATCTAAGAGATTGTTTCTGATTGACTTCATTTAAATTATCCCACAGTTTTTATTTAGTTTCAGTTAAATCAAATTAGCTCTAGTGTATTTGAACATGAAACTTATAGTTATTTTTAAAGAAAAATGAATACATCTCAAAACTAAAATAGTATTCTTTCAGAACAGGCACTGACAAGACTTTTTTTGTAAAGGAGATGAAACAAGAACAAAAAACTCACTGCCATCTAGTCAATTCTGACTCATAGCAACCTCCGTTGGGTTTGCAAGGCTGTAAATCTTTTCAGAAGTAGATTACCCCATTTTCCTTCCATGGAGCAGCTGATGGATTTGCACTGCTGACCGTCTGCTTAACAACCAAATGCCTTACCCAGTATGTCACTAGAGCTCCTTTAAGGAGACGGAGAGATTTTTAAAGGAAAGAATATAAATTTTCAAGACTCAAAAATTATTGTACCATGTTTCATAGCTCTAAGAAGTTAGTCTTTACAGAAGCTAATTTAATTTTTCAAAGTACCATTTCAGTGTTTTTTTAATTTATTTATTCATGGAACTCTTTTTCATCATTTAGTAAAAAAACATGAACTTGGGAGCTACAGCATCATCAATAAAAGCAAGAGCTTGACAGTCACAGTGTTCAACTTAGAATCTCATTTTTATTAGCTTGTAGTGTAAATTTTTCATGTTGGTTAACTTTTCTGTGCCTCAGTTTCCTGCCTGTCTTGAATAACTATAAGAATTAAATAAATTAACATATGTAAGTAACTTTAAACACATCTAGAAAAAGAAAAACAAAAAAGGCAGTTTTTTATTATAAATAATTTGAAGAATAGTAGTCTCAATAAATATTAACTTAACAAAAATGGAATAGTAATTGAATTCCTCAACATACTTTAAAGTGTTTGTTAGCATTAGTTTTGAAATCCCACAAATATTTCACTATCTCATATTTTGGTTGGTCTGTGAATAAAGACACTGAGAATATATTGTAGTATAATCGTATATAACTATGGTCACTAGATTTTATTGAGGTCATTATGTTTATAAGGAGCTCTGGTGGCACAACAGCTAAGCACGTGGCTGCTAATAGAAAGGTGGTTGGTTCAAACTCATCCAGAGGTCTGCAGGACACAGACCTGGTGATCTCCTCCTATAAAGATTACAGCCTAGAAACATTATGGGAAATTCTAAACTGTCACACAGTATCTCTATAATTTAAAATTGACTTGATGTCACCTAACAACAACAAGATTTTATTTATATCATTGTCTTCAGTTAAGCAAAATACCAAAAGACACTCTTATAAGTTAAATATCCCAAAATGTTATTTTATGGTATAGTAGTTAATTTATCCCCTACAGGTGAATGAGTAACTTCTAATATACTGTTAGAACCTGATTATGCTAATATATTCTAAAAAATTGAAATCATTTCTTGGCTTTCAATTGGCCTTTTGCATAATATAAATTGCAGAATGGCTTTTTTACCTTTATAATTTCTTGATACAACTTCAAATAATATCAAAGAGCAACAGAGCCACTCTCTTGAACAGATTTCCTATGGTGGCATGATAACAAAATGAAAGAGATTTTCCCTTTTAACAGTGGGCATTTGAGATTGCATTCTGTTACTCTGAAGCATACCTAAACCATCTGTCCTGGGTACACAGAAACATATTGCTCAAATCTTGAGAATACGCCATATGCAGAAACATCTGTAAGCACATAGATACATACATGTGTGTTTAATTTTGGGGAAAAAAAAATGTATTTGTTCTTTCTTTCTCAGGAGTGCATCTTCAGTTCGTAAATTTTTCTACAGAAACCATACATGATTATTTGGAAGTAAGAAGTGGATCCTCAGAAACTAGTACAGTTATTGGCCGGCTTAGTGGTCCTCAAATACCTTCTTCTATATTTAGCACAACCCATGAAACCAGCTTGTATTTTCACAGTGACTATTCGCAAAACAAACAAGGATTTCACATTGTATACCAAGGTAAGAGGAGTAATAAAAGGTGAAACCCACTTAGCCCCTAATCGGTTTTTAGAAATCTTTAACTTATTAGAGAAATAATAAGTATTTTCTATGTTCTGTTTCTACAAAGAGAAAGGAACTGTCATCAAGGCAAGCTTACATTAGGAAGTTTGTTTTTTTTTTTCTTTCCAGTAAATGTAATTTGTAGGCAACTGTGCAGGGAGAATGATGTTTTTCTGAGACCTAAGAAAATCCTAATCATGAAAAAAGTATTGAATTAGTCTTAAATTAATACACAATCAGATTAGGCAAGGCAATGCAATTAAAAGCAAGGCAAGCTGGATATCAAAGATTGATCTTCGCTTTTGCATCAAAATGAGTGTATGAAAGTATATTTTTAGTATGAATATGTTATTTGTAAAATCATTGAATTTTACTTTATAATGATAATATGATATTCCTTGATTTTGTTTTCTTGTTATGGAAATATAAATAGTTAATAATCGTATTATATTAGGCTTATCTCTAATATAATATTTCTCTGTGACCTTGAGGAAGATTTTTTTCTCCCTTTTGAGTATAAGGTTTGGATTCATGTAGTGTGAACTCAACTACTGATGCTCCCTATTCAATCTAATGTGGCCTGTGGTTCTGACTTGACTTCCTCATCTGCTGAAGGAAGTTAATAATAGTACCTACCAGAGAAGTTGTTTTGAACTTTATATGATGAAATTAATGTAAAATACATCTCATAATGCATACCATTGTTAAATATTCAGTTCATTTTAGCTATTATTACTGTGTTATTTCAGATCTTAAATGTCCAAGTCCTTTTGACATTAAATATTTAATGTTATGGTATTTTAAGTAAAAAGTACAGTTACAATGATTGCAATTTTTAATCAAATTAACTTAAAAGTTGATTGCATCTCTGCACTTATATCAAAGGACTTCATGGGAGTGTGATACTTTGGGTGTGAGCTTCATGAGAACAGAGATTTTTGTATTATTTGCTGATATATCTCAAGTATCTAGGACAATAAGGACATGATAAATATTTGCTGAGTAAAAGCATATATCCAAAAGAAAATATGAGACATTGTAGTAGTTAAAATAAGGATCAAACTACATTGGTTTAAGTAATTACAATTAGTATTGCACTTGCATATGTAATTTAAGGACATAACATCACACATTATCCTTTACATAAGACAGGAGTCATTTCTACAACCTATCAACACAAAATTGACCATGATCCTGAGAAAATAGATTATATCAGAAACAACTGGGAAATTGATTGAGTTTCTCTCTTTCTTGATGCCAGGAAGACTCATAAACAGATTTGTGGTCCATCTCTAGTGGGTGTACAGTGTCGTATACCGAGCACCTTGTTACTCACCTTAAAGTTGACTTCATCCATTGGTTTTAACCACATTTTCCCTAACCTCCAAAAAGGATGCTCTTATTTAGGTGATATAAAACTACATTTAGAACTTTATTCATGGCTTTTTAAAATCAATGTGTTCCTGAAATATGATTAATTATTGACACAGACAAAAGCATAAAATATACAAAATCTTGTTAATGTTATCAACATGTTATTAAGATTATTGACTTAAAGTATTGCAAGAACTAGACCATATTTGGGAAATTCATTGAGCTTTAAAAACAAGCTCATCTTTTACTGCATTACAGTATTGAATTAATACCATTATTAAGAAACAGGCTAATCTACTCAGATTCATAGGGTCAATATTATTTTTTAGATTTATTTTACAGTTAGACTTTTAAAACTTTCTGATTTTTGATGCATGGTATGTGATTAAGGATACTCCCCTACTGATAGACTCAGTTTGAAAGAATATTACATCATCAACATTGTTAGGTTATGTCTTACATTGCTTATTATTTTCCAATGGGAATTTTTCTTGTGAGTAATTAAAATGTATGTCCTACACTTTCCTATTAAACTAAAAATCATAGAAAGATAAAGCAGTGTACAAACTATCACAGGATCATACATTTGTCCACAAGTCCTTCCCTAGCTTTCAAAATTACTTTTTTTTTTTTAATTTTACTTTTATTCTGGTGAAAGCATACACAGGAGCTTTGTCAACATAACAGCTTCCACATTTACAGTTCAGGGACATTGATGACATTTTTCATGTTGTGCCACCATTACTGCTATCCTTTTCCAAAATATTCCACCATCATTAACATAAACTTACTACCCCACAAACAAAGCTTCCCCTTTCCCCCTCTCTCTATCCCCTGGTAACAACAAATAATTTTTTATTTCATATATATATATATATATATGATTGTGTTATTATTTTCCAACCTAACTGGGAATTTTCCCTTCCCTCCACTCTCATCCCTGCATCCCTGGTAACCAATGAAGAAAGTTTCCTCCATGTATAAACCTTCCATTGACTTTTTACAATAATAGACTAATACTATATTTAGCCTTCTGTGATTTATTTCTCTCAGCATAATTTCCTCCAAGTTCATCCACATTATGCAGTGTTTTGCAGATTCTATATTCTTCTTCAAGGTTGCATAGTATTCCATCATTGTATGTATAACAGTTTCTTTAGCCATTCCTCAGTTGATGGGCATGTAGATTGCTTCCATCTCTTTCCTGTTGTGAGTAGTGCTACAATGAACATGGGTGTGCATACATCTCTTCTTGTCCTGCCTCTGATTTCTTTAGGATATATACCTAGTAATAGGATTGGTGGATCAGATGGTATTTCTATTTCCAACTTCTAAAGCAATCGCCATACAGATTTTTACAATGGTTGTATCATTTTACAGTCCCACCAGCAGTGTATGAGAGTCCCAATCTCTCCACATCCTCACCAACATTTGTTATTTTCTGTCTTGTTGAGCTTTGCAATTAATGCTGAAGTGACATGGTATTTCATGGTTGTTTTGATTTGCATCTCTCTAATGGCTAATGATCATGAAAATTTCTTCATATGTTTGTTGGCTGCCTGAATATTTACTTTGGTGAAGTGTCTGTTCATGTCTTCTGCCCATTTTTTAATTGGGTTGTTTATCTTTTTTGATGTTGAGGTGTTGGAGTTTTCCACAAATTTTAGAGCTAAGTCCTTTATCTGATATGTCATTGCAGAATATTTTTTCCCATTCTGTAGGTTCTCTTTTTACTCTCTTGGAGAAATCTTTTGATGCACATAATAATTTAAATTTAGTTAAATCATCTAGTTTATTTTCTGTTGTTTGTGCATCTTGGGTTATACTTGATAGTCTGTTTATGCCACAAATTAGGACCCCGAACTTTGACCCTATTTTTTCTTTGATTAACTTTGTAGTTTTAGGTTTCACATTTAAGTTTTTGATCCATATGGAATTAGTTTTTGTGGATGGTGTGAGGTATGGATCTTGTTTCATTTTGCTGCAAATGAAAATCCAGTTTTGCGAGCACCATTTGTGAAAGAGACAATCTCTTCCCCATTGAATGGATTTTGACCCTTTGTCAAATATCAGCTGATCATAGGTGGATAGATCTATTTCTGGGTTCTTAATTCTGTTCTGCTGTTCTATGTGTCTGTCCTTGTACCAATACCAGACTGTTTTGACATCTTTGGCTGTGTAGTAGGTTTTGAGATCTGGGAGTGTTGAGACCTACTTTTTTCTTCTTCAGTAGTGCTTTGCTTAGCTGAGGTCTCTTTCCTTTTCATATTAAATTAGTGATTTTTTTTTTTTCCGTGTCTTTAAAGAATGTTGATGAATTCTGGATAGGGATTGCATTGAAAGTCTAGATTGCTTTGGGTAGTATTGGCATTTTCACAATGTTCATTCTTCCTATTTATGAGCGTGGCATGTTCTTCCATTTATGTAGATCTCTTGAAGTAGTGTTCTGTAGTTTTCTTTGTATAGGTCTTTTGTCTTCCTGGTAAGATTTATTCCCAACTATCTTATCTTTTTGGTAACTATTGTAGATGGTATTGATTTCTTTATTTCCTTTTCAGAAACCTCTTGGCTGATATTTGTATGTTGATCTTATATCCTGCCACTATACTAAATCTTTCAGTAAGTTCCAGTAGTTTCTTGCTGAGTCTCTTGGGTTTTCTATATATAGAATCATATCATCTGCAAATAGGTATTGTTTTACTTCTTCCTTACCAATTTGAATGCCTTTGATTTCCCTTTCTTGTCTTATTTCCCTGGCTAGGACTGCCATGACAGTGTTGAATAGGAGTGAAGATAGAAGGCATCCTTGTCTCGTTCCTTTTCACCAGGGGAATGGTTTCAGTCGCTCTCCATTGAGCATAATGTTGGCTATTAGCTCTGCATAGATGCCTTATGTTGAGGGATTCCCCTTCTATTTCTCTTTTTTCTGAGAGCTTTTATCAAGAATGGGTATTGGATTTATCAAATGCCTTTTCTGCATCTATTGATAGGATCATATTTTTTCCTTTTTTTAACTTATGTGATGGATGACGTTGATTCTTTTTCAAATGCTTAACCATTCTTACATACTTGATATGAATCCCACTTGGTCATGATGTATTATTATTATTTTTATATGTTGTTGAAGTCTATGGCCTAGAGTTTTGTTGAAGATTTTTTCATCTATATTCATGAGAGATATTGGTCTGTAATTTCCTTTCTAGTGACGTATTTGCCTGGTTTTGGTATCAAGGTTATGCTTGCTTCATAAAATGAGTTAGGGAGGATTCCATCCTTTTCTATGTTTTGGAATAATTTGAGTAGGATTGGTGTCAGCTCTTCTCTGAATGATTGGTATAATTCTCCAGTGAAACCATTTGAGCCAGGAGTTTTTCTTGTTCGTAATTTTTTATGACTTGTTCAATTTCTTCTTTTTAAATTATGTACTTCAGTCTGTGTTAGTTTAGGTAAGTACTGTATTTCTGGAAAACTATCTGTTTCTTCTAGGTTTTCAATTTTGTTGGTGTACAATTCTTCATAATATCTTGATATTATTGTTTTTATTTCTGTTGGTTCTATTGTGACATCACCCATTTCCTTTCTTATTCATGTTATTTTCATCTTCTCTTTCTTTTCCTTTGTTAAGTTTGCCAGTGCTTTGTCGATTTTTATTATTTTCAAAGAATCATTCTCTAGTCTTGTTGATTTTTTTCTATTGTCTTTCTATGTTCTGTTTTATTTACTTTTGCTTAAATCTTTATTATTTCCAAAATTAGTTTTTAAATATAAATGAAAACTGAGAAGATTCATTTAATAGTATCATATATTACAAATCCTAATGGAAACAAATGATACATATAGTGGATTGTCTTAAATTAGAATTAAAGCTCTATTTGATTTGATGTTTTTTGCATGAAAAACTGATTCTTATAAAAAAATAAACACTCTGAATAAGACCTTTAACACCTTAAAAGGAATTTGTTTATTAATTTTGAAATTTTTGGGTTGAAAAAATTGGCATGAAATTCTTACAAACTACATAGAATTGCTTGTTAAATTTCAAATATCAGGTATATATTTGCTTTTGGGGATAGGAGATTTTAACATCAGTAGAAATATAGTCTTTGGTTACCAGCAATAAAAAATTTATCTATTGGAATATGGTTTTGTGCTACTTAAATAAAAGGTTCTGGATATTTATAATATATTGACATGCACACTGTGCATATATTCAAAATTAATTCAGCAATGGGTACTGGAAACCTACTATGTGAAAAACAATGGTCCAGGTTTTGGGAATATAATGGTAAATAAATAAACAAGAATTTTGGTGTATTGCAGAATGTAAAATAAGAGTAGTATGAGCAACATGAGTCAATTATGATGCATTGACAAACATATGATTACTGGAGTACAAAATTTTATACTTGACAAAAATTTATTTCCTAGTAATTTCTATTATTAAATATCATCCTTTGAAAAAATTGACAGTTGGATATTGTGGCTTTTTTTTTTTTTTCAGAGAAAAATTAGTACAAATTTCAAAAATACTCAGAATTAGGCTTATTCAATTTTTCAAAATGTACTTGTAGTAATACTAAGAAGCATAGCAATATATATAAAGGAATTGATTAATTTAAATGATATCTGTAATAGTAAGTGTATATTTTCTTTAAACTTATAATTAAGACAGTCAGTGACATCATTTATCATAAATTTAAATGGCTGTAATTAACCATCTACAAGCAGCAGCATATCAAGGTGTAAATAATACCCATCTTAGTTTTCTAAAATTCAATATGAAAAAATTAATGCCTTTCCTTTTCTCTTTCTTTTTTCAGCCTATCAGTTACAAAGCTGTCCTGATCCACGCCCATTTAGAAATGGTTTTGTCATTGGCAATGATTTCACTGTGGGTCAAACCATTTCATTTGAATGTTTCCCTGGATACACTTTAATTGGAAATTCAGCTCTCACTTGCCTTCACGGAGTCAGTCGTAACTGGAATCATCCACTTCCAAGGTGTGAAGGTATGTTTCTCACTTCAAGTTATCTTTCAGGTGATGTTATCTGTGTAATACTTGTTTTACCATGCTCCTCTTCAAAAACATGCTAACTATAGTGTCTTTTTCAGTTGAAGAATCATGATTAATACCCAAATCAAAAACCTTAACACTTCATAATAAATAACTGATTATAATTATCATTACTGGCAGAGGTCTTAAAGGATCTCTTGTGGTATAGTGGTTAAGGCTTCTGGCTGCTAACCAAAAGGTCAGTGGTGAGAACTCACCAACTGCTCTGTGGAAGAAAATTGAAGCAGTCTACTTCTGTAAAGATTTACAGCCCTGGAAACCCAGTGAGGGTTGCTATGATTTGGCATCAAATCCATGGCAGCAAGTTTGTTTGCTTTTTGGTTTGGCCGAGGTCCTAACTTTCCCTTTTGGCAATTAAAATTTAATTAACATTTCAGTTTTTCCTATGCATGTGAGTCTTGTATGAGTGAATGGATATGTGTGTGTATGTTTAATATTGTTGTTGTTGTTGCTATGTGCCGTCGAGTCGGCCCCGACTCATAGCGACCCCTCCTTGGGTTTCCGAGGCAGTATCACTACGGAAGTAAGATTGCCCGTATGTTTAATAGTTATGCCTATATAAACCAGTAACCCAGATAATGCTACTGAATTTGAGTTCTTGTCCTCTAGAAAACCCCTTTTAAAATAAAAAGGCTTGGAGTTTTAAATATTAAGAGTCATAAAAGTTGAACAGTATACATGTACTGATAAATTATTTGAGAAAAATAGAAATCTTAATGTGATTTATTGTTAATAACAATCATGTAGCAGACTTCATATGAAAAATAAATGGAAGTTGATGATATTTTTTTAAGAAGCCCTAGTGATACAGTGGTTAAATGGTCAACCACTAACTGAAAGGTCAGTGGTTCAAACCACCACACATCCATGAGAGAAAGATGTGCTAATTTACTCCTGTAAAGATTACGGCCGTGGCCACCTTACATTACTTTGTCTTTCAGGGTCTCTATTAGTTGGAATCAACTCGATGGCAAAGGTGTGGTATGGGTTTATGCTGTGTGCATGGCTGCCAACTGCCATTTGTATTCCTCAAGTAGAGTGAAAACACAGCAAATAGATATATCTTACACTGCTTACAAGATAGGCTGTGTTTGACTCTTTATTTATAGTTAGTTTTGTTATTATTTCATCTGTGTCTTTTCTTCAGCTCTTTGTGGTGGGAATATAACTGCAATGAATGGCACCATTTACTCACCTGGATATCCTGATGAGTATCCAAATTTTCAAGACTGTTTTTGGCTTGTGAGAGTACCCCCAGGGAACGGAATCTACATCAATTTTACAGTCCTTCAAACAGAACCAATCTATGATTTCATTAATGTATGGTAAGCCAGGACCATTGTTATTGATTGATTCAACTACACAACAGTGGAACAAAGTAGGAATGAAAATACATCACAATCCTCTGTTAAAATTGCCCTGTGATATTTGAATTGGTGTAAGTGAGGGTGAGAGAGGGTGATCTGTGGAATGAAATAAGCAAAAGAAACAGGTTGGCTTTATTGCCCATTAAATAGCTAAATACTATAGAACAAAAACTTTCATGGGTAAAAAAAGTTTAAAAGTTGTTATTGAATTAGCATGCAACAACAACGAATTCATGACAGATAAGTTAAAAATAAGAAAGATCTCTATTCACAAAAGTCTGTGAAATTTAAGACCCTATATTCAACTTACTATTTTATAGCAGTATTCAATTTCTAGCATAATAATATTTTATAAAATATTATAGTTGAATTATCATGATGTTAAGTGAAACATCTTTATTTAAAAATGTACTATAAATAATCTTTATATTGATTATTGACAATTGATAGAACTACTGTATAATTCATAAGATTTCTAGCAACCAATGAGTCTCAAGATTGTTGCTAGAGAAAATAAAAGGGAGTCAAATCTCAAATCTTTAGGATAATCCACAGGTAGGAGAATCTGTGTTTCAGTCAAGGAGCCCTCATAGCACAAAAAAGAAACAGCTAAGAAAATGCTATGGGCAGTTCTACACTGTCACATGCATCACTGAGAGTCAAAATGGACTCCAGGGTACCCAACAGAGGCAAATGGTGGTCAGAAAACCAAAGAATGTAGTTGATTACAACTAACATGAGAGCATTTTGTGTAGGTAAAAATGAGATCTATCTTTATACTTCGTATTTTTAAGTGTTTTATCCTATAAATAGACATTAGGCAATATGGTAGCATAGTGCCTAAGGCACTTGCCTGCTAACCAGAAGGCTGGTGGTTCAGACCCACCAGCCACTCCTCAGAAGGAAGGTTGGGCAATCTACTTCCCTAGTGATACTGTCTCGGAAATCCAAGGAGGGGTTGCTATGAGTCAGATATGATTCTAAGGCACATAACAAAAACATGATTTGCCACTTATTGCTTTATTTATCTTCTGTGTATTTATTATTTCGCATATAATATATTCCTTAAACTTGTGCTAAAAAAACTGATCTCTCTCTCACAACAGGGATGGACCAGACCAAAACTCGCCTCAGATTGGTCAGTTCAGTGGCAATACAGCTTTGGAATCAGTGTATAGCACTTCAAATCAGATTCTGATCAAATTCCACAGTGATTTCACAACAAGTGGCTTTTTTGTGCTCAGTTATCACGGTTGGTATTATCAGAGAGTTTCTATTTCATTTGGCACTGTTTACATTTTTCTGGAAAAATTGAATGTAATATATTTTAAACAATAATGGGAAAAGTATTAAAATGTGACATTTTTTATTACTGTAACTTTAGCATTTCAAACACATTTACTTGCAACGGATGACCTCTTCTAAGCATTTAGGGATATTGAAATGTGACCAAATGGATAGAGGAAATAAATCAGTCACTATCCAGTAGAAAATAATCATTTTTGCATGGGAACAAAAGAGAGCCAGCTGTTCTTATTTCATTACATGTAATTTTTTAACATGAATAGATGTTTTAATACAAAATGTTTAATCTATTCAACCTGCTGTGCCTCTTTCTAAAATTAGCATCAAATATCTTTAGGCTTTGGATAAAATTACTCATTCATTTATAACCATGTTTCAAATCTGTATCCATTCTAGAATCTTAGAACTTTAAGTAACTATCCCAGATCATTAAGTTCATAGTTTTCACTCCTGTGGAATGATTTATGACAAGTCTCAATTTATTTCTTAGTATAGAATTGATCGTTGTAGCATAACTTTATGAAAGGATATTCAGAGGTTTTATTTCCCCGTAATTGTTGTTTTATCCCAAATAGATTATATTCCATTATAAATCAGAGAATATTAATGTTTTCAGTTATTTTATATTTGTACATACTGTGACCATACTTCCATAAACGCATTTTTCCTTTATAAAATATTGTTAGACCAATTTCAAGAGTATTTCATAGGATCTGTAATCTACTAAACTAAATTTTCAAAAAAATATATATGGAAATTTTTTAAGATTAACATGCATGATGTCCATTATATTATTATACAATGTAATGCTTTTCATCTTCTTAACACAAAAATAGCAAAATCGTTCATATTCAAAGATTACATTCCATGTAAATATAATAAGCCAAATATGATTATGCACATTGAGATTGGTCATAGACATAGTGAGGGAATTTATCATAAAACATTCAATTTATTCAATCTGAGTATTTGTCAGTCAGTAGGTGAGATCTAATTAATAGGAAGCTGTGGTGACTAAGTGGTTATAAGCACTTGGCTGCTTGTATTTGGGAGCTTTGGTGGTGTACTGCTTAAGGCATTTGACCACTAACCAGGATGCTGGCGGTTCAATCCCACCAGCCACTCCTCAGAAGGAAGGTTTGGTAATCTACTTCCGTAGTGATACCACCTGGGAAACCCAAGGAGGGGTCGCTCTGAGTCCAGAATAACTCCAGGGAAGTGAGTTTGCTTACTGAAAGGTTGGCAGTTCAAGCCCACCAGCCATTCCTTGGGACAAAGATGTGCAGGCAGTCTGCTTCTGGAAAGATTACAGCTTTGGAAACCCTATGGGACAGTTCTACACTGTTCTGTAAATTCACTAAGAGTCTGACTTGACTGGATGATAGTTTTATTTTTTTGAGTAATGGTTTATAGCTGCCAGAGGTCCATGCAGTCAACAGCATAGCCAGTTAGAAAGAGGTAGACAGTTTGATTCAGGCTGTGTATTTTTAAAGTAATCCGTAAGTCTATTCCTGTTCAATTGATCACTGATGCTAGCAGTAGACAGTAAGTAAGTGCTTAATCAATGGACCACCAAGGCTTCAAGTAGAGACAGCTTAAAACTGCCAACAATAGCATT